GGCGAGGGACAGTACGCACCGACATCCACCGGGTATGGCTGCCAGAGGCCAGCCACGGCGCCAGGATGCCCGGGAACCGGGACATCGCCTGTCAGTGCCAAAACCACCCGGCTCTGCCAGGCAGACTGGGTGTTGTGCGGATCGATCGGCGACAGGGCCACCATGGTCCGGCGGTCGGCGCACAAAATAAGCAGGTCTGCCAAAGGGGCGGTCAGCCGACAGGCAAGGAGCTGGCGAGCCATCGGGAGCATGGGAGGAGGCGGGCATCGGCCACAGCGCGCACCTGGCAAACAGTCGCCATCAAAGTCCACATACGGGAAGGCTGTCAGAGGGGCCGGCTCGCAGCCGGCCAGTGTGGCCAGGGCCCGATGCGGCTCGCCCGTCGGCAGGACCCAGCTTCGCAGGGTGGCACCGGCGCCGGACTCCGCCGGCTGAAACCCCAGCAGCATCGGGTGCCCGGTTCCGAGGGGGTCCGCCGGCAGGGGCATCCCCAGGCTGGCGACCGGCTTGCCGGCCCGGTGAAAGCCCGGCTTGTCCTCCGACGCGGCGAAGAGCTGGGTTGTCGCCGGTGGCGCGGTGTACCCCCCGGAGAAGACATTCCCGGGGAGGGTCTTCTCACAAGTGACAGCCATGTCAAAAAGCCCATCTGCATTTGCATCCAGCTGTGGCGGTGTCGACGGTGGCGGTGGCGGTGGCGGTGGCGGTGGCGGTGATGGTAACAGCGCCCCAGGGCGCGGCAGGTGCGATCGTGAGGTGTGAGTGGCAAAGGGCAAAGGGCAAGACCAGGGTCAGCTCGACCGGGGCACGCACCACCAGGGTGCCGGCGACCGAGCTGCCAGCCTCGCAAGACACCGGGACCGCGGGGAAGCGGGGATCCGCCGCGAAGAGGGGTCGCGCGCCTGCCATTCGCAGGAGGAAGCTGGCCTCTTGGCGGCCAGCGGCGTCGGGATCCAGCAGACACACAAGATCCAAGCTAGGCAGGGAAGCAGGCGTCAGAGATCCGTGGCATTCGAGCGAGCGGACGAGGGGGGCGAAGCAATCATGCATCATGGCAGCACGTACAGCCCATCGCCATCGAGATCGGCGCTGCCGCTCAGCCGGCCGGAGCATGAGCCCCACGGCCGGTCAGACCCGGGGACATCGAGATCCCCGGGAACCTGGCTGAATGCCACTCCCTCGGAGGCCGGGACCGGTAGGTCTGGGCCGCTTGAGGACGAGAGCGGCCTCACGGGCTCCGGGGAGGACATCGGGGGCGGGGCGAAAGAGAGGTGTACAGTGGGGGGGGGGAGGGGGGGCGTCGGCAAGTCGGGGCCCTGAGCAAAAGGCAGGTTGGGGACAACAGGGAGTGGGGGGGGGGGGGGAGGATGTGGGGTGCCGCTCACGGCCTAACACCGTCCCGAGATCGCGGCCCTCTTTTGGGACTCTAGCCATCCGTGCCGCCCCCCGGCCCCTCCGGCCCCAAAAGGTAAGCCACCCGCCAGCACACACACTCAGGTGCACACGCGACAGAACCACAGCAGGCAAACAGGTCTATGGTGGGTGTATTATTCGTTGCCCCATCGAGGCGGGAGACCGGGGGAAGGAACGCGCCGCACAGGGCACGGAGATCACATCCCGCTTCGGCGGGAAAGGCATCGACACGCATCTCTCTTCTCTTGCTCCCGCTCAGAAGAGACCAGCGGATCGGGTGGGGGGGGGGGGGGGGGGGGGCGGGGGGCCAGACGGGCCAGCTCCGGGGAGGGAAGGGAGCGCCAAAAAAGGAAAGGGGGGGGGGGAGGGGGGGGGGGGGGGGGGGGGGGGGGGGGGGGGGGGGGGGGGGGGGGGGGGGGGGGGGGGGGG